TGAACTATTCTGGCTTCTATAAAGTTGTGCTTTTTAAGTGTGATTGGGCGGACACCCAAAGAGGATGCAAGAAAGATGAATTTGGTTTTACGTTGGTGAATTTCAATCGTTTATCTCACACTAGTAGTAATCCTAGTGATGACCCCTACATATTTGCCTCTCAAGCTAGTAAAGTGTTTTACATTGAGGATGCAAGAGAAAAAGATTGGCAAGTAGTCAAGCATGTGAAGGCTAGAGGTGCTTTTGATTTGGGAGAAGTGATACCTATTAGAGAAAATGAAGTTGGTGGAACAGACATGGCATCCACTTGGGTTAGGAGAGATACCGAGGAAGAGGGGATTATTGTGACATCATATATGGAAGTTCAAAACTATGATGATGAAGAAATTGATGATTAAATTTGAGTTTGTAGTACAAAGTCTAGTTATTAGTTTCTCTAATTTTAGGCTTAAGTTATTATTTTGTGTAATGTATGACCATAATTTGAAATATAATAGTCTAATTTTTATATTTTTATCTTATTAGTATTTATTACTTTTTCAATTGTTTTTCTTGGTTAAATGATTGTTATAGATGTATTTATGTAATTCTTCTAAGTTCATAAACTTGGCTTGCTTTTTCAGTATATATTTTGACATTAAAATATAAATTCTCATTATTATCATCTTTTTTATTTCCTTTCAGGATGCCAAAGTGCAAGCGTCTCAATATTGTAAGGTTCCAATCAAACAACCAAACTGAAGCTGGTTTACCCTCTTCTCCATCCATAAACAATGAGGTTCAGCCAAGCTAACAACCTGCTCCATCTAGAAATAATGTGGGTGAGTCAAACCATCAACATGCTGTCCTAGAAGAAACAAATTCTAGAGGTAAAGTTTTTACTTAAATTGTTGTTTTCCAAATTTATAAGATGAATTTATGTGAATTTATAACTCATGAATGTATTTATTATTAGCACCATCTCCACCACCTAGAAAGCCAAGAGGTCCAACATTGATGTCCCACATATGGGAGTTGGATAAAGGTGCCAAGGTCAACGTCATATTTGATGCAAACTGCCACCCAATTGGTAAAGAAGGTTGCACCTTGACTCGATTCATTGGTACTATTGCAAGAAAATCAGATATTGCACCTATTAACTATAAGGATTGGAGGGATATGCCTCAAATTTATAAGGATGACATGTGGAAGATTATTGAGGTAAAAAAAAAAAGGGTTATACCCTTAATAGATTAGTAAACTTGGTGCAAATTTGGTATATTACTGAATCTGAATTTTTGGTCTTTCTCGTACATATCATGATTCTGCATGTATTGTTAAACAATGCAACAAGGATTTAATTGCTTTCTAGTTCTCTATAATTTGGAAGATCCATATGTCCATCGAGTCAAATGACCATTTGAATTATAATACTTCACCTTTCACTTATGTCAAAAGGGCCATAGATTTTTAATCTCTTTCTTCAATTTTAGTGAAGGGAAACCACATATCCAAAAGGTCTGCATCTCATTTAAATTTGCTTCTTTTTCTTGCAGTTAATTTGACTAGATTGAGGCACTACCATAATTGATTTCCCATTATGGCATCTCTCCCTGCCTTGCTTTTGTTTCTTGCTCTTCTCCCTGTAATTTCTGCTGTAGAAGTTGAACATGCTACAATTACAATTGATGGGAGTACGACAATTGTTGAAACTGATAATAATTTTGTTTGTGCTTCCTTAATTCCTACTTAATTATTCAAACTTTACATTTAATTTTCCCTTTTCATAATTATGAAAAACTGATTCTAATAAGTTTCTATTTGGTATAAGTTTTTTGTTGGATGAAAGTTTTGTTTTTTACATGTGAAAAGGAGCTTATTTGGTTTAGATTTTAGAGTTCTGTATGATGAATAGGACTCTATTTTAATTATGTTGGATCAACATCTGGTGTGGTTACATGTTTAGTGATTTGTGCTGGTTATAGGTTGAACTATTTGCTTACAGAGGTTTGGGTTGAATATGAAGCTACATGGTATTTGTTTTGCAGGTTGAAGATGACTTTTCATTGTTATGATATTTTGCCATTGTTATTATTGGTTTTTTTTAATCTCATTTTGTTTTTGTGGTTTCTAATTTTAGTACAAGTTCCTTATTGAAGAAAGCTGCAAAGAGCAAATCAAGAGTTGGCTTATGACTGATGTTAATGAAAAATGGAAAAGCTATAAAAATGAGCTAAAAAGTGTAGGATTTGATCTGTTGCTAACAGTAGATGAAATGTATGAAAAGATTAATGATCCTCGAGTTGATAAGGAACAATTTGAAGTGCTTGTTGAATATTGGCGTAGTGAGAAAGGGGAGGTATGACAATTTTGTTGTGCAGTTGACATATTGCCTAATTTTCTATTACCACAAATAACTTATACCTTTTGTTTTCTTCTAGAAAATTAGCAAACAGAATAAAGAAAATAGGCTAAAACTGGAAGAGCCCCATTGCCTAGGCACCAAGACTTTTGCACGATTTGTCAATGAGAAGGTAATTGATTTTTTCTGCTCAATCTACTTTATTAAAAAAAGTAGTGTACATACTGATCAAGTGATAATTGAAATTAAGTTAGGGCATGATGTTAGATTAGTAATAAATTAAATTGTTATCCTATCTTTCTTTTTTTAGTATAATTGCTTAAAGGTATATTAGAATTTTATTATTTATTGCTTTTTTATTTTCCAGGAAAGCTTTGTTGAAGGGAGAAAGCTGTCAAGAGCTGAACTCTACATTCAAAGTCGAACAAAAAAGGAAGGGGGACCTGTAAGTGAAAAGGCAAGCCAAGTGATGGTTAGTAAACACAAACTCTGTGTTTTAAATATGAGAGGGTTGTTCTTCATGGTATAAAAAAAATAATGA